TCAAGCCTGTAATCCCAGCACTTTGGGAGGCCGAGGCGGGTGGATCACGAGGTCAAGAGATCAAGACCATCCTGGTCAACATGGTGAAACCCCGTCTCTACTAAAAATACAAAAAAATTAGCTGGGCATGGTGGCACGTGCCTGTAATCCTAGCTACTCAGGAGGCTGAGGCAGGAGAATTGCCTGAGCCCAGGAGGCAGAGGTTGCGGTGAGCCGAGATCGCGCCATTGCACTCTAGCCTGGGTAACAAGAGCGAAACTCCGTCTCAAAAAAAAAAAGAATATGGAAGTTTATGGGCTGGGCGCAGTGGCTCACACCTGTAATCCTAGCACTTTGGGAGGCCGAGGTGGGTGGATAACCTGAGGTCAGGTGTTCAAGATCAGCCTGACCATAATGTTGAAACCCCATCTTTAAGGAAAAAAAAAAAAAAAAAAAAAGAACATGGAAGTTCTGGCTGGGTACGGTGGCTCACACCTGTAATCCCAGCACTTTGGGAGGCCAAGGCGGGTGGATCACCTGAGGTAAGGAGTTTCAGACCAGCCTGGCCAACACTGCAATATCCCATCTCTACTAAAAATACAAAAAAAAAATTAGCTGGGCATGGTTGCGGGCATCTGTAATCCCAGCTACTTGGGAGGCTGAGGCAGAAGAATTGCTTGAACCCGGGAGGCAGAGGTTACTGTGAGCTGAGATCGCGCCATTGCACTCCAGCCTGGGTGACAGGCAAGATTCTTTCTCAAAACAAAAAAGAAAAGAATATAGAATTTCATAGAACTATGCTCTCTTCCTTTATGTACATTTGAAGACTTCCATAGTAAGAGTTTTAAATGATGCTCCTCTGGTAAGCATGGTTTCTAGTAACTCCCAGAGCATGCTCCCCACTTGCCCTGAAAGCCGAGACTTCCCTCTTTGGCTCCCCAGACACAGATCCCAGCCCTCTCTGCCCTCCACCAGGTCACCCTTTATCCCCTGTAGTTCTTTGCTGGCACAGTCCCCACATTTAGGACTTTTCCCAGCTGTGCTTCACAGCTCTGAGGGGCCAGAGAGACCTTAAAGAGTATGCGTATTTTGAGTAGGTCCTACAATAAACAAAAATAATCCAAAATAATGTAATCTTGCTTTTGGTCTCTATTAGTTGCTTCTGAGCAAAATGCAATGCAGTAGAAAACTGGCCTCCATCCTGTGAAACAAGGCAAGGGATGTAAGGTCATCCTGTCTCATCCACTGCCTTCAACCAGGATGACCTCCACCCCAAAGGAAATACCACTAAGAATTCAGAGACTCACTGTCATGAGTTCAAGGGGCTAAAGCCCAAGACTGTGATGGAGGGCACTTACTGAGTAACCTTGGGGAAATCATGATTTTTTTTTTCTTTTTTTAAAGACGGGGCTTGCTCTGTCACCCAGGCTGGAGTCCAGTGGTATGATCAGAGCTCACTGGAGCCTCAAACTCCTAGGCTCAAGCAATCCTGCTGCCTCAGCCTCAGGAATAGCTGGGGTTACAGGCACCCACCACCATGCCCAGATAGGGATCTCCCTAGTTGCCCAGGCTGGCCACAAACTCTTGACCTCAAGAGATCCACCTACCTCAACCTCCTAAAGTGCTAGGATTAGAGGTATGAGCCACCAAGCTTGGCAGAAATCATGATTTTTTTTTTTTTTTCGGACAGAGTCTCACTCCATCACTCAAGCTGGAGTGCAGAGGTACAATCTTGGCTCACTGCAACCTCCACCTCCAGAGTTCAAACGATTCTCATGCCTCAGTCACCTGAGTAGCTGGAATTACAGGTGTGCAACACCATGGCCTGGCTATTTTTTGTAGTGATGGGATTTTGCTGTTGGCCAGGCAGATCTCGAACTCCTGGCTTCAAGCAATCCACCTGCCAGGCCCCCCACAGTGCTGGGATTACAGGTGTGAGCCACCACACCCAACCAAAAATCATGAATTTTACCTTAGTGTTTCTAGATGAAAGCATGGAAACCATCAACCCTTTCTACTCTCCACTAGTTTGCCAGCTAAGGATGAAAGCACTTTGGAACTTGTAGGCTATAAATCAACTGTTTTATCATAAGAAAATATTTCTCCAGGCTGGACGCTGTGGCTCATGCCTGTAATCCCAGTGCTTTGGGAGGCCAAGGCAGGTGGATCCCTTGAGGCCAGGGAGTTCAAGACTTTTATGGGACAGGGTCTCACTCTGTCGCCCAGGCCGGAGTGCCCTGGCATGATCTCGGCGCACCACAACCTCTGCCTCCTGGGTTCAACTGATTCTCCTGCCTCAGCTTCCCAAGTAGCCAGAATTATAGGCGTGCACCACTGCTGCCTGGCTAATTTTTGTATTTTTAGTAGAGACAGGGTTTCACCACGTTGGCCAGGCTGGTCTGGAACTCCTGACCTCAAATGATCCACCTGCCTTGGCCTCCCAAAGTACTGGGATTACAGGCGTGAGCCACCGAGCCTGGCCAAAAGAAAGCATTTCTCCAGATGTAATCCCAAACTCTCCTACCCTATCTTTAGAATAAAAAAAATGCAACATTTACTGATCTGCTGTGCAGGTAGGTGAATAGCATAATTGCAGAAACTATGTGAGCTTGGAACTGGAAAGATGGGGTTCCCAGTTCTGACTCTGCCTTTTACTATGTAACTCTAAACATGTTACCTAACCTTTTCACTCTGGTTATACCTCCTGTATTGGTTGTTGTGAAAGTCAGATGAGATGATTTCATCTATAGCAGTTAGGCTAAACCTTCTTAAAGTTCCTTAGGTACATAATAACTGATAAGTGTTAACAGTTAATATGGGTTAATACTTTTGATAGTAATTTACATGATTCATTCATTCATTTATTTACATAATTTTTTTTGAGACGGAGTCTCACTCTGTCGCCCAGTCTGGAGTGCAATGGTGTGGTCTTGGCTCACTGCAACCTCCACCTCCCAGGTTTAAACGATTCTCCTGCATCAGCCTCCCACGTAGCTGGGATTACAGACGCCCACCACCACGACTGGCTAATTTTTGTATTTTTAGGAGAGATGGGTTTTCACCATATTGGCCAGGCTGGTCTCGAACTCCTGACATCGTGATCCACCTGCCTTTGGCCTCCCAAAGTGTTGGGATTACAGGCGTAAGCCACTGCGCCCAGACTCTATTCATAGAATATTTGTGGAATATTTATTATTAATACATATCGATGACTGTTTTAAGCATTGGGAATACAGGTGAACAAAATAGATAAAAGTCTACAGGGAAAAGAGATAGTAAATATTTATTTATTTATTTACTTAGAGACAAAGTCTTGCTCTAACACCCAGGCTAGAGTGCAGTGGTGCAATCTTGGCTCACTACAGCCTCCACCTCCCAGGTTCAAGCAATTCGCATGCCTCAGCCTCCCAAGTAGCTGGGATTACAGGCATGAACCACCAGGCCCAGCTAATTTTTTGTTTGTTTGTTTGTTTGTTTCAGATGGAGTCTCACTCTGCTGCCCAGGCTGGAGTGTAGTAGTGTGATCTCGGCTCACTGCAACCTCCGCCTCCCAGGTTCAAGTGATTCTCCTGCCTCAGCCTCCTGAGTAGCTGGGCTTACAGGTGTCTGCCACCATGCCCAGCTAATTGTATTTTTAATGGAGACAGGGTTTCACCATGTTTGCCAGGCTGGTATTAACTTCCTGGCCTCAAGTGATTAGCCCACCTCAGCCTCCCAAAGTACTGAGATTACAGGTGTGAGCCACTGCACCTAGCCGAAATTGTAAATAAACAAGGAAAATACTTAGTGTACTGTAGAGCAAAAGCGGCAGAGGAGAATAGAGAATCGGAAGGAAAGTAGATAGATTACTGTCCTGGAGGTGGTGGTGTTGCTATTTTAACCAGGAGGGCCAAGGAAAGCCTCTCTGATCAGGTAACATTTTTTCATTTTTAAAATTTTTTGTGAGACAGAGACTCGCTCCGTCACCTAGGCTGGAGTGCAGTGGCACGATTTCAGCTCACTGCGACCTCCTCCTCCAAGGTTCAAGCAATTCTCTTGCCTCAGCCTCCCAAAGTGCTGGGATTACAGGCATGAGCCACCAGGCCCGGCCAAGATCAGGTGACATTCGAACAGAGAACTGGAGGAGGTGAATGGGGGAACCACGGGGATATCTTGGAGAAGAACTGTACAGGTAACAGTGTGCAAAGGCCCTGGTGGTAGCCAATGTAGATAGAGTAAGAGGAAGATTAGTAGGGGACGAAGTCAGATGAGTGGCAGAGGGTCAGAGGACAGAGGGGCTTGCAGGCCATTACAAAGATTTCGGCTTTGACCCTTAGTGAGATGGGAAGTCATTGGAGGCTCTTGAGGAGATAATACGGAAGCTGTAGAGAGGTTAAATAGCTTTTCCGAGGTAAAACAGCTTGTAAGTGGCAGAAGGTAGGGAGTTAAGATCCAGGGCTGAAGTTGTTAACCCTATGCTGCCACTGAACTTTAGCCTTCTTTATTTGGGCATTGCTCTCCTGTGACTTCAAAGAAACTGGGACGCTGGGAAGTTATGTGGCTTGCCCAAGGCCACACAGCTGGTAAGTGACAGGGGCAGGATTGCGCCTTAGTCTGTCTGCAGCCCGAGTCCAAGATCTTTACACCACACCGCCTCCCTCAGGAGTCTGGACTATACTAACTTCTCTTGCATAGAGGTCACTGCAGTGGGAGAGGAGGCAAACCTAGGAGACCGTCTTGGCTTCGGGCAGCGGTGCTGTTCCTTAGGAAGCTCCAGCCCTTGGCTCTACCGGACTGCGGGCATCTTTCCCGAGCACGGCACGGAAGAAAAGAAAATGGTTCTTTATTTTGCGGTGGCCCCGCAGGCATCCAAGAGCCAGAGGAGCGGGTGTCACGGGAGGGCAGCGAGCGAGACCAGACCAGGAGGAGCAACTGCAGCCGCCTCAGGTAGCCCCCTTCCCCACCCACCCCTGGCGTCGGTAGTTCCGCGCCAGGGTAGGGAAAAGAAGGCGGGACGGGGCGGGGTTTTGGCGCAGTGCCGTCGTCACGTGACGAAGCCATCATGGCGGCGGCCAGAGGCCTGCCTGGCTCCCGGAAGCAGGCTGTGAGGGGCGGGAGCGCTGCTGGAACCCGAGCCGGAGCCGGAGCCAGAGCAGGGAGGGTGGCCGGGCGGCCTGGAGCCGGACGTGTCCGGGCGTCCCCGCAGACCGGGGCAGCAGGTGAGACGGAGTCTGGGCTAGGCGCAAGCGGGTGTGGCGGCGCTGGGCAGAGGCTAGGGGGCGCAGGGGGTTGCCAGTGACTTGGAGGACTGGGAATCTGAGATGCACACGCATGACCCTTAAGCAACTCGAGAGGCCCGCGCTGGTGGGAGGGATGCCCGGCACAGAGGATCAGACTCTGAGGGCAAAAAGGGGCTCCCCAGCGAGGATGGGAGGTAATAGAAGGACGTGTGCGGGAGCTCCCGTGGGAAAGGGCTGTAGCCCCTTTAGAATTTGCGGGAGCGGGATTATTGGAAGGGACTCCCTCTTTATAGGCAAGGATGGGGTAAGTGCTCAGTCTTCTCCCCTGCCCTCTTGCCCCTCCCTGCTCCACAGTGGCCTAGGAGACAGCTCTGGCGGGGCCACTCCTCCCACCCACCCAACTGGTCCCTCCGGTCTGAGATCTCGGGGAGTGGAGTTGGCAGCGGGGTTGGGTGGAGCTGCCTTCTGCTTAAGACAGTCAGCCCCTTGACCGTGCTGCCTGAAAGATGGATATGACTCTGACCCCCACCTCTCTCCCCAGGTCGTCCGGGGGCCCACCATGCTGGTGACTGCCTACCTTGCTTTTGTAGGCCTCCTGGCCTCCTGCCTGGGGCTGGAACTGTCGAGATGCCGGGCTAAGCCCCCAGGAAGGGCCTGCAGCAATCCCTCCTTCCTTCGGTTTCAGCTGGACTTCTATCAGGTCTACTTCCTGGCCCTGGCAGCTGACTGGCTCCAGGCCCCCTACCTCTATAAACTCTACCAGCATTACTACTTCCTGGAAGGTCAAATTGCCATCCTCTATGTCTGTGGCCTTGCCTCCACAGTCCTCTTTGGCCTAGTGGCCTCCTCCCTTGTGGACCGGCTGGGTCGCAAGAATTCTTGTGTCCTCTTCTCCCTCACTTATTCACTGTGCTGCTTAACCAAACTCTCTCAAGACTACTTTGTGCTACTAGTGGGCCGAGCACTTGGTGGGCTGTCCACAGCCCTGCTCTTCTCAGCCTTCGAGGCCTGGTACATCCATGAGCACATGGAACGGCATGACTTCCCTGCCGAGTGGATCCCAGCTACCTTTGCTCGAGCTGCTTTCTGGAACCATGTGCTGGCTGTAGTGGCAGGTGTGGCAGCCGAGGCTGTAGCCAGCTGGATAGGGCTGGGGCCTGTAGCACCCTTTGTGGCTGCCATCCCTCTCCTGGCTCTAGCAGGGGCCTTGGCCCTTCGAAACTGGGAGGAGAACTATGACCGGCAGCGTGCCTTCTCAAGGACCTGTGCTGGAGGCCTGCGCTGCCTCCTCTCGGACCGCCGTGTGCTGCTGTTGGGCACCATACAAGCTCTATTTGAGAGTGTCATCTTCATATTTGTCTTCCTCTGGACACCTGTGCTGGACCCACATGGGGCCCCTCTGGGCATTGTCTTCTCCAGCTTCATGGCAGCCAGCCTGCTTGGCTCTTCCCTGTATCGTATCGCCACCTCCAAGAGGTATCACCTTCAGCCCATGCACCTGCTCTCCCTTGCTGTGCTCATCGTTGTCTTCTCTCTCTTCATGTTGACTTTCTCTACCAGCCCAGGCCAGGAGAGTCCAGTGGAGTCCTTCATAGCCTTTCTACTCATTGAGTTGGCCTGTGGACTATACTTTCCCAGCATGAGCTTCCTACGGAGAAAGGTGATCCCTGAGACAGAGCAGGCTGGTGTACTCAACTGGTTCCGGGTCCCTCTGCACTTACTGGCTTGTCTAGGGCTCCTTGTCCTCCATGACAGTGATCGAAAAACAGGCACGCGGAACATGTTCAGCATTTGCTCTGCCGTCATGGTGATGGCTCTGCTGGCAGTGGTGGGACTCTTCACTGTGGTGAGGCATGATGCTGAGCTGCGGGTACCCTCACCCACTGAGGAGCCCTATGCCCCTGAGCTGTAACCCCACTCCAAGACAAAATAGCTGGGACAGACTCTTGAATCCCAACTATCCAGGATTGTACAGATCTCTCTGTGACTGACTTTGTGGCTGTCCTGTGGCTTCTCCTGCCACTGCTTTGTGTTTGGGAGGACATGATGGGGGTGATGGACTGGAAAGAAGGTGCCAAAAGTTGCCTCTGTGTTACTCCTATTTAGAAAATAAATAGTTTTAAACGATCTTTGCTTTGATTTACTCATCCTTACCTGTAGCCTTCTCAGTAGTTTCTGGTGAGTGGGCAGCTAGAGGTTTTTGTTTTTTGTTTTTTGAGATGGAGTCTCACTCTGTCACCCAGGCTGGGGTGCAATGCTGTGATCTTGGCTTACTGCAACCTCTGTCTCCTGGGCTCAGGTGATTCTCCAGCATCAGCCTCCTGAGTAGCTGGGATTACAGGTGCCCGCTACCATACCCAGGTAATTTTTGGTTTTTGTTTTGTTTTTTGAGATGGAGTTGCACCCTTGTTGCTGCCCAGGCTGGAGTGCAGTGGTGCAAGCTCAGCTCACCACAACCTCTACCTCCCAGGTTCAAGTGATTCTCCTGTCTCAGCCCCCTGAGTAGCTGGGATTACAGGCATGCGCCACCACACCTGGCTAATTTTTGTATTTTTAGTAGGGATGGGATTTCTTCATGTTGGTCAAGCTGGTATTGAACACCTGACCTCAGGTGATCTGTTCTCCTTGGCCTCCCAAAATGCTGGGATTACAGGAGTGAGCCACCGCACCCAGCCATTTCTGTATTTTTAATAGAGATGGGGTTTCACCATGTTGATCAGTCTGGTCTCAAACTCCTGACTTCAGGTGATCCACTCACCTCAGCCTCCCGAAGTGTTGGGATTACAGGCATGAGCCACCATACCTGGGCCAGCTAAAGGTTTTGAGGTGGTATTATCAGCAAAAGGTTTCTATTTCTAAGTTCTCCAAGACTGTCTCTATCTCAAACTGAGAACTATGGAATTGCTGTCAGCAGAGCTGTGTGGGAAGGGCCTGAGGCTCCTAGGTCCTCCACATTCCTTTGTTGGGGGACAGGCACTCTCCCCAGTTGTCAAGCAAAACCTTTGCTCCACATCCAGGGTAAGATGATCTCAGGAGCACATGAAGTAGATGCCCAATATGCCAGGCCACTGAGCAAAGATTCCAGGAGCTTGTGGGCTGCTGCTGTGATCACCCCTTGGGCAAAGCCAGGCCCTTCCTACCAAAGTAAGCTTGCAGCTCAGCATAGGCCTGCGGCCTGCCCTTTACTTCTGTGGCTATGAATGCACCATTTGTCCAGCATCATCTGGGTCTACCAGATCCTGTATCCCTGTGTGAAACCGAAGTGAAAGGCTGCCATGGGGGAAGTGGTGCATGGCTGAGGGACTAGGACATCTTGTCTGTACCTGACTCTCCCCCACCCAGCCTGAATGAGGGCGAGGGAGCCATCAGGGCAGGAAACCTTACTAGTAAGCCAGTTCTGTGGGTCCCTCCCTGCCTCGCCTCTGATTGTATCTGCCTTTCCTCCTCCCACCAAAACCTGGGCTTCTCAGGGGAAGCACAGCCAGCTTTAAGAAGGGTGGGGAGGGAAGAAAGGTAGTCTCAAGGGTGTATCCTGGAATTAGCTTGAGATGGGCATGGGGGATACCTACCCCTTCTGGAAAGGAGTTGAAGACCTTTCCTTGGGTCTCAGACTACTTCTCGGACAGGAAGATGCAGGGTGTTCTAAGACCTGCAGGTCCCAACCTGTGTGGAAAGATAGCATCAGCAGGTGCTGGTGGAATGCAGGGTGGAAGGGCTTCTGCAGGGTGAGGCCAAGGGGAGGAAATAGGTGGTGGTCTCAGATCCCTACTCTGACGAGAAAAAACATGTTCCCCACCCAGGCTTCAGGGAATAGAGGTTAAGGTTAAGTAAGAAAAACAGGTATCAGCCGGGTGTGGTGGCTTACACCTGTAATCCCAGCACTTTGAGAGGGAAAGGCAGGCAGATCTCTTGAGCCCAGGAGTTTGAGACCAGCCTGGGCAACGTGGCAAAACCCCATCTCTAAAAAAGAAATACAAAAATTAGCTGTGTGTAGTGCCATGTACCCATAGTCCAAACTGCTTGGGAGGCTGAGGCGGGGAGTATCAATTGAGCCTGGGACATTGAGGCTGTAGGGAGTAGTGATTGAGCCATGCTACTGCACTCCAGCCAGGGCAACAAAGTGAGACCCTGTCTCAAAAACAAAAACAAAAAAAGAAAAGGTATCTTTTTCGTTTTTTATTTCTTTTTATACCCAGATAGCCCAACAGAGTTGGGGACCAACAGCCTGAGAGTCTGCGGGGCTTGCAGCTCTTCAGGACTGAAGGCCAAAAAGGTATCTTTTACTTCCCTACCCCCGCCACCTGTCATCTTGACTAAAGACAGAGTCTTGCATTAACTCCACTTCCTCTTTCTGCCCTGTTGGGCTAGACTTCGATATACTTTATAGTTATTTGTAGACTTTCTGTCTCTTTCTATCATGCTATGATCTTGAGGGGAAGAGGAAACAATCTTACTCACCTTTATCTCCTGCATATATACACATAAGTGTTTGCTTTCCCCATGGCTGTGCTCAGTGTGTATCTGGAGAGGAGACAGGCTAGCTCACACCTGGCTTTTCACGAGACACTTGATTTGTTGTTTTGGATGACAATAATTGTCATTATTATTGGTTTTTCTTTATTTTGTTTTTGAGATGGGGTCTCGCTCTGTCACCAAGGCTGGAGTGTGGTGGCATGATCACGGCTCACTGCAGCCTTGACCTGGGCTCAAGTGATCCTCCCAACTTAGCCTCCCGAATAGCAGGGACTACAGGCAGCACCACCGTACCTAGCTAATTTTTTTTTTTTTTTTTTTGTAGAGATAAGGGTCTCACTATGTTACCCAAGCTGGTCTGAAACTCCTGGGTTCAAGCAATCCTCCCTTCTTGGCCTCCCAAAGTGCTGGAATTACAGGTGTGAGCCACCACACTTGGCCCGACAGTAAGTAGTTAGGGGCCCTCACATTCCTAAGTGATATGGAAATAGAGGGGTAGGGGAGACAAACTGAGATTCCTTTAGCTTTGTCCCTGCTGAGCTTGCTTCAAAGGGGCTAGTGGCAAATAGAGTGGAGAGAGTTCTTTCCTGTCAGACTCACAACGTGTTAAGAGCTGGAAGGCATCTTAGAGATTGTCCATTTGGCCTTAAACTTCTTTTGTTTTTCTGAGATGGAGTCTCGCTCTGTCGCCCAGGCTGGAGTGCAGTGGTGAGATGTCTGCTCACTGTAACATCCGCCTCCAGGTTTCAAGCAGTTGTCTGTCTCAGCCTCCTAAGTAGCTGGGATTACAAGCGCCTACCACCACGCCTAATTTTTGTATTTTTAGTAGAGACGGGTTTCACCATCTTGGCCAGGTTGGTCTTGAACTCCTGACCTTGTGATCTACCCGCCTTGGCCTCCCAAAGTGCTTGGATTACAGGCGTGAGCCACCATGCCCGGCCAGACCGTAAACGTTTTTTATTGAGCACCTACTATACGCCATGTGTTTTATTGCTAGGTACTGGTGAATTTTATTTTATTTTTTTACCAAAGAGGAAAATCCACTTACAGGAAGCGAATAACTTGCCTAAGGGCATGTAGCAAGCGAGTGATAAAACTAACTTAAATCTTGCTTCTTATTGCCAACCCAGTGCCTTCTCTATGAACACATGCTGCCTCTGTCCCATGGGCCTTCACTTACCTGTTTTTTGGCCTCCAACCCTGCTTCTGCATCCCAATCTCTGTCCCTGGAGAACAGCAAGAGAGTGGGAGCATTTGGCTGTCTGATCCACTTAGGGGTAGCTATCCACAGGATTCAAATGAGGGATTGGTTCACCAGGTGCACACTCCCTGCATAATGCTGTCTGTGATGCTCCACCGAGAAGCCCCATAGGGAAGTGATTAAGAATGTGGATCCAAGGCTGGGCTCGGTGGCTCACACCTGTAATCCCAGCACTTTGGGAGGCCAAGGTGGGTGATCACCTGAGGTCAGGAGTTCAAGACCAGCCTGGCCAACATGGTGAAACCCTGTCTCTACTAATAATATAAAAATTAGCTGGGTGTGGTGGCACATGCCTATAATCCCAGCTACTTGGGAGGCTGAGGCAGGAAAATTGCTTGAACCCAGGAGTCAGAGGTTGCAGTGAACCAACATCATACCATTGCACTCTAGCCTGGGCGAAAAGAGTGAAACTCCATCTCAAAAAAAAAGAAAAGAATGTGGATTCAGAGCCCAACTCCCTGGTTCAAATCTGGCTCCACAACTCTGCCTCAGTTTCCTCATCTGTGAAATGGGGAGGACAGTATAGTTTCAACCCCTAAGGTTTCTGGTGAGGATGAAATGCCTCATTATACTTAAGTGCTTAGAATTGTATTTGGCCCACAGTATAAGCACTACATAAGTGTTTGCTTTTATATTTTATTTTTTAATTTCTCCAATCCAGCTGAGCCTATCTGGATTTGAATGTGGGAATGAGTGGAAAAGGCTGTAATGGGGTATAGAACTTTCCAATGCATCCCAATGACTGGGGGATTCCCAGCAGTGTTTATCCTCGGTGCTGGCCCAGATGGACGTATCGAGCTATTTGAGAAGGCTTCTACCCTGGGGTATGTGAGCATCTGAGCTGGGTGTCAGCGTGTTCCACTTGAACTCATTTCCTCTTCCTCTAGTGGGAAGGTCAGCTTGGGGTTAGACTGGATACACACCACCATCTTTCACTAAGAGGCTCCTGATTTTCTGAATTTCCATCCAGCTGGAAACATGATTATTTGATCTGGAGCCTTTAAGTGATCCTGAGGAGAGAAGAGAAACATCCCAAGGACCCAGAAGCCAATGGACGAGGAGGCAGGAGGCCTGGGGCAGGAAGACAGTACAGGGTTCTGAGGCCTGGAGGATGACCTTTTCCTGGAAATTCAGTCCCTGACCTGGGAGGGGAGTGGGCTGTTCCCAGCTAATGGTCAGCTGAGTCTAAGTCCACTCCTCATTGCTCTTCCCCTAACCCCAACCCTGTGGTTTTCCCTGTCCTTTTTATTATTTTCTGCCATCACCTCCCCATAGAACCACAGAATGGAAATGTAGCACAAACAAATATGTCATGCTTGGGATCAGATCTGATGTTATAAAAATACCTCACATCAAAAACAAAAATACCTCACATTAACTTTTTTTTCATAAAGT